TATGGTTAATATATGTTAGTAGTATTATATAAGGATGTATACTTTATATAATGTTATATATATGTACTGATATATATGTATAATATATATATGGTTATATATAAATGTATATATTAATTGTTATTATATATGTATATATAATTGTTATATATATATATATATATATATATATATATATTTATATATGTATTATTTATATATGTATATTACATAATGTATATATGGTATATGTATAATATATCCTACTGTATATAACTATAGCCGTCTGTATATTATAGTATATATATATATATTATATTATATGTTATGTATAATTGTATAGTATAATGTATACTATATATATGTATATACTGTATACTGTATAGTGATATATAATATATGTATATATCTATATGTATATTATAATATTGTTATAATATATGTATATATATTATATATATTATGTATATATATATATGTATATATATATATATATGTATTATATAGTATGTATACTTATTATGTATATATATAGATTAATTTTAGTATATTGTATGTATGTATATATATATATGTATATATAGCTAAATGTATATATATATGTATATATATATGTATATTATATTTATGTTATGTATATATATTATATAATATTATGTATATATATATTATATGCCTATATATACTATAATATATATGTATATATAGTTATAGTGTAATAATATATTAATATATATATGTATATATATTGTATATATATATATATATATGTATTATATTATGTATATATATAGTATGTAATTATATGTATAGTATAGTATTATGGTATTATATAATATGTATGTATATACATATATAGATATATATAATATATATATATATATATATATATAGTATATAGTTATAATACTAGTATTATATAGCAGTAATATATATGAATATGCATACATATGTACATATAGGTATATATAAATATATACTCATATATATATATATAGGTATATCTATATAGTTATATATAATAACATATCTGTATATATGTATTAGTACGATATATAGTATATATATGATATATAGTAGTATTTATTATATATATGAGTATAGATCATATTATAGGGTTGAATATGCATAATATATACATATATAGGTTATATGGTTGTATATTAATGTATATTGATATATTACGGTATGGAGGTGTATTGTGACATATATATAAGATATATAGATAGTATCTTATATATCAGTGATATATATGAATACGACATACATATATAACATTAGGTATATATAATATATATATACATATATATCATATGATATATATATAATTATATATATATATACAGTACATATATTATGCAATAATGCAATACATTCATATAGGTATATATTATATAACTAGTTTATATACTATATATATATACTATGTATATATGTTATATCAGTATAAATATACAGTATATAATATGAATAATGCATCTATATACATATAGGTATATATATATATATATAGTGGATATATATAGTATTATATATATTGTATATATAGTAATAGATATGAATATGCATACATGTATATACATAGTAGGTATATATATGTATTATATATATAGTATTATATATATATATATTATAGATATATATATATATTATATGATATATATATAACAGTATAATTATATAACATGATAGGTATATATATATATATATATATATATATATATATTATAAATAGTATAACTTATATATAACAGTATATATCAATGAAATAATTGCATACTCTATATAGCATATAGGTATGATATATTATATTATATATATATATATATATATATATAAATATATATATATAAATATATATATATATATAGTATACAGTATATTATATGAATATGCATACTATATACAGAGATATTAGGTATATATATATATCCACCTTATTATATGATTAGGATTAATAGGATAGGATAGATATATAGATATTAGATATACTATAAGATATATATAGATATATATATATATATATTTATGGACGTGCCGTGTGGTTTGTGGGTGGGACGGGAGGCTTATTAGGCTGGAGTTTAGTTTGTGGGCATCACTGAGTGTATTTACTTTGCGTGTAGGTTATGAAGTAGTATTGATATATATATATAATGTATAATATATGAATATGCATCATATATGCCATATAGATATGTTCCTTATAGTATATATATTATCATATATATATAGTATATATAGTATATATATGCATAAATATTATTATTTATTAAACAAATATAAATTATATCATACTACATATATCATATATATACATATTATACATATATATACTATAATATATATATTTTGTATTGTATATTTGAATATTATAATTATATAATTATATATATATAATATATAGTAAATATATATATAATTAATATATATATATATAATATATATATGCATATATATACACATGATATATAATAAATCTAAACATATACATGAATATATATATATATTACATATCAGAAGATTTATTATTACTATGATATATATATATATATATATTATATATATATATATTTATATATATGTCTACTATAGTATAGTATATATATATATATATATATATATATATATATATGATATATAATATATATTATATATATATTTATATATATATATATATATATATATATATATATATATATAAAGTATATGTATAATATTTATTATATATTTATTATTTATATATATATATATATATATATTTATTTAATTATATATATATTATATATATATATATAATATATTAGTATAGTATATATAATATATATATATTTATAT